CAGGAAAGTCCGAGCCGAAGCTCCGCCTGAGCTGGAGACGAGCTGCGCGGATCCAGTCGATCAACACCTCAGTGACCTCACCCTTGCTGCGCAAGGGGAAGATTGTGGTGTAACGCGAGTAGTCGTCAACCACCAGCAGGAAGTAGCGCTCGTGACCCTGTCCACGGACGCGGGCTGGGCCCCACACGTCCATGTGAAGTGTCTGCATCGGGGCCTCCGTCGGAGGAAACGGGGAGGAGTGAGGGGTAGCCCGCAGGCGACCCTCGACACAGGGGACACAGGGAGGGCCAGGCCCCGGAGGAAGGGGAGGTAGGGACCGGGGAAGGCCAGAGACGAGAAGGCGAGAGACCATGCCCCGGAGACGAGGCAGGGAGGGGTGACCCATCCTGTGGTGCCACAGGTTGGTCTCGTGGGACAGGAGGCGACACGAGCAGGGGGCAGACTCAGGACCAGACCTGGGCGCTGCAGCAAACACCTGACCCGATGCAGCTACCTGACCAGACGCAGGAGGAGGAGACGGAACAGTGAGTGTGTACAGGCTCGACCCCGGCCCACGTGTGAACGTGGTCAGGTGTCGACCCGTGTCCGCGTCCGTGTAGTGGGTGACCCGTCGGCGCGCAGGGGTGAACTGGTCAACCCCTGCATCCTGTAGGTCAGCACCCGCCACCAAGTTCGTAGAGAACGAGGGGAGGTAGAGACCGGACAGGGCGCCAGACGGGACCGCAGGGCACGGCAGGACAGTGGAGTAGCGAGCCAGAACAGGACCCCCAGAGGGGTCTGCCAGGGAGACCGCCACTGGCCGACTAAGCGGCGTGAGTGTGGTGCGGTCTCGAAAGAAGGAGCGAGACGCCCCGGAGTCAAGAGTGAAAGTGAGAGAGGGCGAAGCCGACGCAGTACCTGAGAGAGCAGACTCACCAGCACCTGAGGACTCAGACTCACTGGCACCTAGAGCAACAGCCTCACCAGCACCTGGAGCAGTAGCCTCAACAGCACCTAGAGCCGCAGTACCAATGCCCGGGTCGGGCGGGAAACACCGGTAATAGTCACCCTCCTCACTAATAGTCACAGCATACATGGCAGCAAGAATAGCATCAAAGTCAAGATCAAAGATAGCTACTCCTGACCTAGACAGCTGGTCCCAGCGAGGGATCTCAGAGGCGTCAGGAAACTGGCGGCGCCAAGCGTCAGTCAGGCGGCCGAAGCAACGCTGGGCGGGGTGTGGACCACCACACTGCTCACCCGCACGGTCGACAGTGCGCAGGACGTAAGTGCACGGACCAGCACCCCCACCCCGCTGACGTGCAGAGTACCACTCACGGAGCTGCTGCGGGGAGAGGGTCTCCTGACCACGCTGCTGCTGCTGGCGGTGACCACCACCGGAGCCACTCCTCCTCGACGAGCCACGACCTCCGCCGCCTCCTCCGCCGCCGCCGCCACCACCTCCGCTGCCACCGCCACTCCCACCGTCGCCGCCGCCACCGCCGCCTCCGCCTTCACTCCCACCACCACCGCCGCTGCCGGCCCCGCCTCCACTGCCTCCGCCGACACCTCCACTCCCGCTACCACTCCCGCTACCACCCTCACCTCCTCCGCTGCCTCTCCCGCCGCCTCCACCGCCCCCGCCGCCTCCACCACCGCCCCTGCCCCCCTTGCCCTTGCCAGAGCGACGTCTCCCGCTGGGGGCAGACGCCGCACCGACCGACTCAAAACCAACAAGGTCGGCCGTAGCAGCAGAGGCGACAGAGGGCAGGAGGGGGGAGGGGGAACACCCCTCAAAGATGGGGGTGCGTGGGTCACCACGAGAGGCCCCTACAGCGAGAATGCTCTTCTCGGCTGCTAGGAGGGACTTCTCGAGGAGCTCGACAGTGAGAGTGGTGGGGCAGACTGCGAGTAGGTCGTCCCTGACTCCGCGAAGGGAGTCAGGGAGGCGGGTGACAATGTAGTAGAGAGTGAAGTACTGGGGGGGGGGGTTCTTGGCGCAGAACTCAGCAGGAAGTGCAGCGCGGAAGCGAGCGTCACTAGTGCGCAGGTGGGTAATGAGGTCGGCTACTGTGGCAAAAGCAGCAAGGTCGGGAAAGAGGTACGGTAGCATGAGGCGGCTCAGTGCAGCAGTGGCAGGGGTGGAGTAGCGTGCAATAACGGCGTCGTACAAGGTCTGAGCACTCTTGTACGACCCAAAGTGCGCACGCTCGGCGGGAGGGAGGTGGCGACGCACAGCAAGACGTGCAGCAGCATCGCGTGTGGCCCACTGTGAGCGAACAGTGGCATCCTCAGTAGCAGCAGGGGCGGGAGAGGCACCAGAAGTGAGATCAAAGAGAGAGAGGCCGTCAGCTCTGTCGCACTGTAGGAAAAGCAGTAGGTCGTCTACCCACACGTCAAAGTCGATGGCTCTGCCCTCAGCGTCAAAGGTGAGGACACTGGGGGTAGCCATGACAGCAGTAGAGAGAGGGCAGTGCGCAGAGTAAAGCTCAGTGCTCACCAGACAGGGCAGTGCAGGGAGGGCTCGGGCGGCTCGGGCGGCTCGGGCGGCTCGGCGGCGCGGCTGCTGGGCGGCTCGGGCGACTCGGCGGCTCGGGCGGCTCGGGCGGCACGGCTGCTGGGGGCGGCTTGGCTGCTGGGGCGGCTCGGCTGCAGGGGCGGCTCGGCTACTGGGGCGGCTCGGCTGCTACTGCGGCTCGGCTGCTGGGGCGGCGGGGCCGACAGGTGCAGCAGCGGGGCCGGTAGGGGTAGCGGCGGGGCCGGTTGAAGCAGCGGCGGGGCCGGCAGAGGGGACGGGGGGGCCGTCGGGTGCAGCGGCGGAGCCGGTAGAGGGGACGGCGGGGCCGTCAGGCGCGGCTGCAGGGCCGTCAGAAGGGGACGGCGTGGCCGTCAGAAAGGGACGGCGGGGCCGCGTCTGAGCGGGCGGCGGGGCCGCGGCTGAGCAGGCGGCGGGGCCGCGTCGTAGCGGGCGGCGGGGCCGCGTCGTAGCTGGCGGCGGGGCCGCGGTTGAGCAGGCGGCGGGGCCGCGACTGAGCGGGCGGCGGGGCCGCGTCTGAGCAGGCGGCGGAGCCGCGTCGTAGCGGGCGGCGGGGCCGCGTCTGAGGAGGCGGCGGGGCTGCGGCTGAGCAGGCGGCGGGGCCGCGTCGTAGCGAGCGGCGGGGCCGCGTCGTAGCGGGCGGCGGGGCCGCGTCGTAGCGGGCGGCGGGGCCGCGGCTGAGCAGGAGGCGGGGCCGCGTCTGAGTAGGCGGCGGGGCCGCGATCGAAATGGCGGCGGGGCCGCGTCCGAAGGGGCGGCAGGGCCGCGAGGGAAGGGCGACACGGAGGGTCGCTCGAGCGAGAGGAAAAAAAAGTTAGCGCGCCTCGGGGCGCGCTTCGGTGGCCCCTAGGCGAAGTTCCCACAGGGAACCCGCTCTATACCATGTGAGATTTGTAGAACAGGAATGTGTGGACTATGAATGAAGGCAGTACAAATATGAAACCCTAACTGGGTTGTACCCCCTATGGGATACCCCACTACAGCCTACACTATAGTATAAGCTATAGATATGTTCTGACAATGTTCTGCACGCGCAGTAATAAATAACCCAATTAACCCAAGTCCAAACCCTAATTTGATCACTTACGAGCAAGTAAGGTAGATGGAGTGATGTGTTGGGTTTGGTTGTACTTGCTACAATCTGATTCGGCAAGATCGAAACATCTGTTGTATTTTCACTATTGACTCAAATTTTTAGTCCCCGGACTTGGGTTAATTGGGTTATTTATTACTGCGCGTGCAAAACATAATGTCAAGGTATCAATTACAATGTGAGAAACTAATCGACGCTGCTTCTGAAATGCACACCCTAAACTAATTGTATAATCGAAACTGTTATTGATCGCTTATATTCACTGCAACATGCGGACTGTGCATTAAACTGCATCGGTCCCTAACAAGGTCCGAGTATATTTCGACAGTCACATCACGTTTTTCACTACAGACAAAACGCGCGCGAGATAATAGTACCCGAATCTGTACAGTATATTTGAGAGTTTCGACTTTTTGGCGGGCGTTTCAACGAGTGACCAAACGTGATAACCCTGCGGGGCGAGGTGTGACCACGCGTGATAGCGCTGTGATCACACGTGATAGCGAAGTACTGTACTGTGACTGTCCATGATAACCCCGTGACCAAACGTGATAATACGGCCTAAATTGTGACTGCGCGTATAATTTCCCTTTCGCGCACGTGCACCTCCTGTGGCAATTTTGCCAAGCGAGCCAGGGGGGATTTCGTCAGGCACGTCTGTGACGATTCGTTTAGGCGCGTTAGTGGTGATTTCGCTACAAAAAAACACCAGAATTCTTTGGGTGCGCTTATACGAAGATTGACACAACTTGGGGTGGGCTTATAATCGGCAACCGGCTATAAGCCCACTAGTACGATTATAACCGCATGGGTGTAACATAGGCCTGGGGGTATATCCGGGTGATGACGGTATTACAATCCTACTCAGACTTAAACTCTACAAAGATCCTAAGGGCACTTCAGCCCAACAAGGGCGTGTGTCTTTTGGCGAAATTTGTCAAAGTTCGAACATTAAACACTTCGTACCATGGCGACACGTGTCTCCATAGTAGTATCGTACCGAGTAGAACCTCGCTAAAAGTTCGAACTTTGACGGAAGTTCGTACCCCTAGTGCACACGCCCTTACTCTCTTAGTGCTTCCGCTGCAACACTTGGTAGCTACCGTATCCCAAGCAGGCAGTCCACTTCCCTTTTCTTTCATAAGTGTCCAAACCAACTTCATGCACTCTTCCGGGCATGCAGTGTGGCAATTCCTTTTTAGTAATCATGTACAACACTTCAGGAACGGACCTGCTTGTAATGCACTCCCTCTACATCAGCATAAATAACTATCACAACATTCACTTTCTAACAAGCACCCGTTCTAACCTACCAGCGCACCCACCCACCCACTATCATCAATACAATGAAAACACAACACTCCTAGCCCCTCAACCCCCCTCCTGCTCCCCTCACATGTCATTAATCAGGTTCTTTAGCTTGTCACGGAGCACATCCATGCCGGGCCGGTGCTCCCAGTCAAAGAAGATGGCGAACTTGATGAGTGTGAACGCCAAGAGCACCTGCTTGAGCTGCCACTGGTCCTGCAGCTGCGGGTCCACCACGAGCGTGGGGTCGGGGAAGTCCTTGGCGGTGACGAGCTTGCGCAGGTCCTTGAACCGCGCGTCCAGGGCTGAGCACCCCGACACCAGCTCCAGCAGGAAGATGCCAAACGCGTACGTGTCCGACTTGCGGCTTAGCATGCCTGGAGGGGGGGGAGAGGGGCAGAGGGGGAGGCAGGTGTGAGGAGGGGGGGGAATTGGATGGGGAGCAGGATGTTGAGGTGACTTAGGAGTTTACTAAACAGCATGGTATGGCATTTGGGTGGGACATGGTATGCGGGTGGGACATGGTATGTGGGTGGGGCATGGCATGTGGGTGGGTCCAGTGGGAATGGAAGGGTGCTTGAGCTTAGGGCAAGGCAAAGGGTGTGAGTGACCAGAGTGGAAGCAGATGGACTGTGGTGGTCCTCAACCCCTCGCACGGCCCTTGAGTAGAACTTCGAGTGACTCGGCGCAAACAAGACTGAGAGAACAACAAATGCAGTGAGCGAGAGGGCAGTGGCCAGCGATAAAGCGAATGGGGTTGAGGTAAGGTAACCCACTGACCCCATGGCCGTCGCCCTTTAATCAACCCATTGCCCGAGACAGGTAGCGTGTGAAGCTAGGGCGGGAGGAGCGGGTCACAGGATCACTGGCTGGAACCAAAATAGATGGGGCCGATACACCGCACCACCCTTGCCTTGCAGTCAACCAGTGCCCGGGAAAATGTGATGCACGAAATGTAGAATGAAGTGCGCAGGAGGGTGCATGACAGCTTGCATGACAGCGTGCATGACAGCTTGCATGACAGCGTGCATGACAGCTTGCATGACAGCGTGCATGACAGCTTGCATGAGAGCGTGCATGGGCCCCCACCCCACAGGAGGGACTCTAGTAGATGGGTTGCTGTACTCCATACCTCCCCTCCCACCCACCACCCTCGCCTTAGGCAACCCATTGCCCGAGGATGAGCGGAGAGGGCAGGAGGAAGGGGGTTCGTGACCCCCCGGCGCCCATCAGAGGACGCCCATCCCATGCACGTGAGGGACACCCCCCGAGCCCCCCTTCCCCTTGGGAGTGTAGCACGGCACTGACCCGAGTCGAAGTAGATGGGGTCGATGTAGCCCACGGACCCCATCGCCCTCGCCAACCCAAAGTCCGCCACCACCGGGGTCAGGTCCTGGTGTGCCGCGAGGGGCGCGGGCGGAGGGGCAATGGGGAGGGAAGGGAAGTGTGGCGTGAGGTGAGCTCTCTGGCAGCACCGCGGAGACATGCTGACGTGGATGGACCAGAGGGGTGGGGATGACGGAGTGCGGAGGGAGGTGCGCACAGCACAGTGAGGAGGCATCACTGTGATGTGGGGAGGGAGGAGTGGCGAGGGAGGAGGGGGGAGGGAGGAGTGGGGAGGGAGGAGTGGGGAGGGAGGAGTGGGGAGGGAGGAAGGGGGAGGGAGGAGGGGGGAGGGAGGAGTGGGGAGGGAGGAAGGGGGAGGGAGGAGGGGGGAGGGAGGAGGGAGGGAGGAGGAGGGAGGAGGAGGGAAGAAGGGGGAGGGAGGAGGAGGGAGGAGGAGGCCAGCTCCATACACCTGTATCTGCTCTCCCATCCTCACCGCACTCTCCTACACCTCAACTCTCCTCCCTCCCCTCACCCTTGCCTCTCTCCTCCCGGCATGTTGATACCTGCACTGCACCTGTCGCCTATTCCCCCTCTACCCTCCATCCACCTCTTGGAGCAGCGAAACACACCTCCCTTCCCCTTCCACCTCCCTCCCCGTCTCACCTCCCTCCCCCTCACACCACCCTCCCCCCCTCCAGCTCTCCCCCCTTACACCTCCCTCCCACCCCCCACCTTCCTCCCACCCCTCACCTCGTTGCACCGCACACACATCTCTCCCCCCCGTGCACCTGGCGCAGCAGCACGTTGGTGGCCTCGCTCCCCCTGCCTCTCCCCCTGCCTCTCCCCCTGCCTCTCCCCCTGCCGCGCACCTGGCGGAGCAGCACGTGGGTGACCGTGAAGTCGCGGTGCACCAAGTTGCTGCCGGGGATGCTCGTCACCGCTCCAACTGCCCCTTTCTATCCAACCCAGAGCGGTTCAGTGCGGTGCAGCATGGTGGCATTCCCCACCTGGCGGAGCAGCACGTTGGTGGCTTTGAAGTCGCGATGCACGAAGTTGTTGGCATGGATGGTCGTGAGCGCCTCCGCACACCCCAGCGCCACCGCCACCCGCTGCTTCCACGTGAACGCCACCTCTCCCCACGCCGCTGATGGGGGGCAAGGAGAGGAGGGGAGGGGCGGGGGGAGGTGAGGGGGAGGGATGGGGAGGGGAGGAAAGGGGAAGGGAGGGGAGGAGAGGAGGGATGGAGACGGATGGAAGGGGAGAGGAAGAAAGGAGGGGAGAGGGGGGGAGGGGAAGAGAGGGGAGGGTATGGAAGGGGAGGGGAAGAGAGGGGACGGGAGGGGAGGGGAGAGGAAGGGAGTAGAGGGGAAGGGAGAGGAGGGGAGGAGTAGGGAGGAGGGCTGGCTCATGGCAGCGGGGGGGCAGGACGGGGGCAGGAAAGGGGAAGACAAAGCAGAGATGAGGGAAAGAGGGGAGGAAGACGCAGGGGAGAGGTAGGGAGGATACGACGAGGACGAGAGGCACGCGCACAGAGCTGTGGCACGGGGCGCACAGAGCTGTGGCATGGGGCGCACAGAGCTGTGTGTGTGACAGAGGGCGTGCACGCACCTTCAGCGAGGTAGGTGGCGGCATCACCCATGGAGACGTCGTCGTGGATGAGGATGGGCGTGGCGGCATGACTCATAGACACACCATTGTTGAAATTCACACACACATGCAGCATGGGCGCACGCACCTTTAGCGAGGTAGGTGGAGGCGTCCCCCATGGAGACGTAGTCGTAGATGAGAATGGGCGTGGCGCCCACCACGTACCCCTCCAGGCGCAGTATGTTGGGGTGGTGCACCCGCGCCACGCCCACCTCCGTCTGTGTGCCATGCCGTGCCATGCCGTGCAAGCAAGGGAAGAGGGGCTGTCGTGAATCCCCCTCTGCTGTCCCTTCCTTCTCACTCTCCCTTGAATCCCTGCCTGACTTCCTCCTCCCTCTCCCTCCACCTCTCATCCAGGTGACCGGCTCATCCCTTCTTCCTCCTGACGTATGTAATCACTCTGTTCTGATCCCCTCCTCGTATCTCAGGCTTCTCTGCCCCCTCCCGTGACTGAGCACGCACCCGAGCTGCTCCAGATACGGGATCTAATGCCTGAGGCTTCTCCATTCCCGCCCTGGCCACGTTGGTGATATGCTCCTTCAGGTACTTCCCTCGATCATCCTCCAGCACTAGCACCCCCGACTCCCTTACCTCTTTCACCCTCCAACGCTCCGGTCCCACAGCTAAGTCCAGCGTATCTCGCTTAGCCCTGCGCAGGTACACCTCCTGCCCCGCTTCCACTTTGTCACTCTTTCCTCCCATCCCTCCTGCTTTGCGCTGCTGGTACCGCCTTGCATCCCTCAGCTGCGCCACGTGTAGATTATCCAAGGCAGCTGGAGTCAGCTCTTTCAGATACCTCGCCCTCTTCTCTGCTAATCCCACCCACAGGCTCGGCTCGTCCGCTTCAATTGTCGCCGAGAGCAGCTTCGGTGCATCCACAGGTAGCACCGGGTCCCGTCCGTACAGTAGATGATACGGGGACAGATGCTTCAGCGCTGTCTGCTTCGCAAACCGGTATCCTGCAAGCACCCACCAGAGATCCCTGTCCCAACTCCTCTTGTGTGTCTCTCCATAGGCCCGAAGTCCTTTCTTCACGGTTTGTATGAGCCTCTCTGTCAGCCCGTCCGATTGAGGGTGATACCTTGAGGTGACACGATGCGTGATGCCCATTTCTTCTAGCAGCTCATCAAAGCTCCCTTGAAACTCTGTCCCTTGATCAGTAAGCACCTCTCCACATGCCCCGTACCTGGTCAGTACTAACTCCTCGAATGCGTCCGCTATCAGTGCGCTACTTTTGCTTGGTAATGCCAGCGCCTCCACCCATTTGCTCGTGTGCTCAACCATGATCAGAATGTACTGCTTCCCTCCTTTTGATAATGGTAACTCTCCTGCCAGGTCCAGCGACCACCTGTAACCTAACCCCCGAATCGGTAGTGAGTTCAGCTCCTCCCTCTCCTTTTCCAGCCTTGCTTTATTCCTTTGACAAGCCTCGCAGCTGGCTACCAGTCCTGCCACATCCTTCCCCATGCTTGCCCACCAGTACATGGTGCTCAACAGCTGCCATGTCCTGGTGATGCCGTAATGTCCTAGCTTCGCATGCACCTTCCCCATGATCCTGTTCCTCTCTTGCGGTTGCGGCACTACCCTCCATCCTTCGCTGGTCCTCAGCTGCAGCTGCTCCTGAAACCATCTGTAATGCTGCCCTCTGGCTCTTGCTCTCTCACTTACGCCTTCCTCCTCCAGTGGCTCCCCTTTGATCCAGCTCATGGTCTCCTCGTCCTCCCATATATCTGCTAACCGCTTCTCTCCCTTCTCCTGTCCCCAGGTCACGGCCACGGCGTGGGCTAAGGCCGCCAGCTGCGCTACCGGCTGCATCGGTGGTGGGTTCCTTGACAGCCCATCTGCATGCTGCAGTGTTTTACCCGGTCGGTGCCGGATCTCAAAGTCGAATCCCAGCAACTTGATAGCCCATCGAGCGTTTCTTCCCGTCAGCTCTTGATTAGTCATCAACCATAGCAGTGGCTGATGATCAGTCACTAATGTGAAGTGCCGGCCCTGCAGGTATACCTTGAAATGCGTGATTCCCCACACTGCCGTCAGGCCCTCTCCCTCGTATGAGCAGTAGTTAGCCTCGGATGGGCTGCAGCTGCGGCTGGCAAAGGCTATCACTCTTTCCTCTCCCTCGATTTCTTGGCAGAGCACCGCTCCCATTCCCGTACTGCTCCAGTCAGTGTACAGGATGAAAGGTGCTTCTGCCCTCGGTATCTGCAGTAAGGTCCCTGTCCTAACCGCTTCAAGCAAGTCCTGCCTTGCTGCCTCCTCCACCTCTCCCCATTGCCAGCTCTTCCCTTCCCTCAGCAGCTGGTTCAGCACGTAGGCGCGGCGACTAAAGTTTGATACAAACTTCCTGTAATAATTCAGAAAGCCGAGTAAAGCCCGCAGCCCTGGCTTGTCCTTTGGCGCTGCCAGGTTCTCCAGCACCTTAACCTTCGCCTCTTGTATGGCCAGCCGACCGCCCTTCACTTCAAACCCCAGGTAGGCCACCGTGTGCCTCGCCATCTTACACTTATCTGGGTGACACGTCAGCCCCGCAGCTGCTATTGCCTCTAGAGTCTGCTTCAGATCTTGCACATGCTGTTCTTCGCTGCTGCTGTAAATCAACACGTCATCAATGTAGCAGGCTGCGGCTGGAATCCCCTTCAGCACTTGATCCATGGCTCTCTGGAACACTGCTGGTGCGTTCCGAAGCCCGAAAGGCATAACGTTGTACTCATACAACCCGTCCACCCCGTGAAATGCAGTTTTCCGTTTATCTGTTTCTCTAATGCCTATCTGATTGAAGCCCTGCCGCAGGTCCAAGGTGGTAAAGACGGTGGCCCCTTCCAGCCGGTCGAAAATGTCTTCAGCAGTCGGCATAGGGTATCTGTCAGGGCTTGTAATCTTGTTCAGCTCCCGGAAATCCCCGCACATCCGCTTCGCTAGAATCTTTCCCGTGATATCCTTCCTAGCAGCTACAACCGTGGCCGCCGCGTAACTTGATTCTGACGGGCGAATAATCCCTGCAGCTAGCAGCTCCTCACATTTCTCTTTGCAGATGGCTGCATCCTCCGCATTCATTCGCCTCCTGCGTTGGTATGTAGGTAGCTCGGTCGTGAGGTTCAGCTCCAGCTCTCTCCCTTTGTATCTCCCCAATTCCTGCAGGTTATAGGCGAAGGTGCCCCTATGCTGCTGCAACACTTCCCTGATTGCTTCAGCTGCTTGCTCCCCTATACCTGCCCCCAGCTCCCAGGTTTTGCCCGGCTCTACTTCCTTGCCTACTGGTGGTGCAGTATCGATCTCCTTCTCGGCTGTGAGCTTGCTGACAGCGGTGTAAGCAGCCTGCTTGCCGCCCCTGCCCTTCTCCGCTTCCGTCTTTCCCCTTTTCTCGGCTGGCCCCTTTCTCATCTCACTAACTAGCCATCGCAGCGAGTGCTGGTCTATGGCTCGGCCCAAGGCAGCTTTGCGCACCTCCTCCCCCACTCCGTCTGCTGCTGTTGCCTCCGGCAGGTACCCCATGGCTAATTCCCGCTCCAAAGCCGTCGGCTCCTCCCATCTTTTCTTACGGTGATCATACACCATCCCTGGACCTGGAGTCCCTTCCACTTCGACAAATCCCCGTGCCTTTGCATAGGCCACCAGTGTCGGCCAGGCCCTCCTTGCTTCCCCCACTCGGTTACACTGATACTGTCGCGGATGATCTGACTTTACCACTGGGGCGGCCACTCTCCCTGGTTCCAGGATGTCTTCCACAATTCGGCTCTCATCTCTCTCCACCCTTGCTAATCTCGCCCTCAGTTCTCCTTCTGGCAGGACGTTCTGCCAGTACTGCCGCACTCTATGACACCTTGCCCCTAGCTGTGCCCCGTCACAACTCACTCCCCTTCCCAATTCTGCTTCTACTAGCTCGCGTACGGCTCGGACCGGCTCCCTGATATCACTCCTCATATCCACATGTTCTAGGATGTAAGCATATTCCCCGCCAGATTCTCTCGCCCACCTCATAATCGTCAGTATTGTTGTCACCATCGCCGTGCAGTCATCCTGCATTCCTCTTCCCTTCCCCGCTCGGGAAGTACCCTGGCACTCCCACCCTGCTACCAACAGGTCCACCTTTCCCCAGCGGTTCACATCTTCCCTGGTAAGCTGTCCCACATCCCACTTCTCATTCAGCATGGCCTCCCGTATCACTTCCTTCGCCAGTTGAGCTGGGTACCGCTGCTGCAGTATCTGTGCATGCTTCCAAGCCATCCTCCTCACCTCTGGGTCTATTTCCACATACACCCACCTTTTCACCTTCAGTCTTGCTTCCAATGCCGCCGCTAAGCCTGCCCCCAACCCTCCAAACAGCTCCACTAAGATAACGCTATACTGGTCCAGGTTAGCTCCGACCTTGCCCTCTTTGGTACTCCCCCTCCTTACGCTCTCTCTTCTCACGCCCTCTGCCCTCCAAGCCTTCTTCGGTTCTGTCTTGACAAACCGCACCGGCAGCTCACTCAACTCCTTTCCCTCGATCCAGAAATCCGAGCGGTAGAGCACCTGTTCCTGCCAGGTACATATTGTTGTACCTATCTTGAACAGCAGCTCCATCCCCAGCAGAACATCATAATCCTCCGATTCCGTCAGCCCACATTGCACTCTTATCGTCGTTTCTCCCTTCTCTCCCGGCTGCAGAGTGATCTCGATGGGGTCCTTAGTACAGGGCATCCACTTTGGTGCCCCTCCCTCGGCTGTCATGATCAGTATGCCTTTGTTTACTATTTCCAAGTCCCCTTTCTCCCGTAACTGTTCTGTCAGCTTCCTTCCCAGCAGGACACTCTGTGCGCCTGTATCTACTACGGCGTTCTCCACTAGTATGCCCCTGACAGCCACTGCCTTAGGTTCTACCACCAGAGCCGTGGGTTGGCAGACGAGTCTCTCCTCAGGATGCCGTCGAGCCGTCCTCGGCTTATTACTTTCTTCTCGTTGCCCAGGGGTTCTCCTTTCAGGCTGCTTCTGCTCTGTCCTGCCATCCTTCCCACCGCTGCGCAACCCCAACTCCTCTCGGTCTCTAGGTGGTATAGCCATGGCCCCGTACTCCGCCTCCTCTCTCTCATACTCCTCCTCTTCATCATCCTCCCAAGCCAGCAATGCCTTCTCAGGGTCCTCACTAATCCCAGTCTTCTCCAGCTGTCCTTTCAGCTTCGCCAACTCTCTCTCTAACTGTAACTCCCTTGCCGATTTTCCTCGCATTCTCTCTCCC